GATAAGAGGACTCAGAAACAGGACAGAACGCGTTGCAGATATTTCACTATTGTAATCAAAGTGCTGCTTCCAACTTTGTTTGACACATTATTATAAATATACACTTTGAATCGTACAAAGATTGTCTTAAGTGTTTGTGCTTCTTCCTATTTAAATAACGGAGATGGTAGGAAATATCGAAGAAACAAATAGTGAGAAATAATAAATGTTAAACTCATTCCTTTTTCTGAGGAAACTGCCACTTGTGGTTTGAGGATGTGTTGCTGTTCTGAAATTCTTTAGCTGCCTGAGTGTTAAAAACAAGTCGAGAGGCATTTATAGGTTGTCATTGTTTGTCTGCTTCATACTTATTTGCTCTCTTTTCTTTCCTCAGTTGTTTTGCTCTTTAATGTCACTCTTTTTTCTTTGTGGTATTCCCTTATTTTACTTCCTCTTCTCTCTTGCAATGTTTCAGAGGAAAAGACATTACTGGAGGCTAGACAGTAAATGCATTACGCTGTTTCAGAACGACACAGGAAGTAAATATTACAAGGTAAGACCACTACCTTCCAGCAGTTTATTTGTTGCTGCAAAGTCATCACTGCAGGTGTGCCTGTCTTTTAAAGACTAACTGCTAAGTTTACAGTAGTAGTCTTTTTTGAACTCGAGTCTGCTGAGAGAGGCCTGATATTCCTGTTCTACTTTCTAAACTCAGCAGTCTGAGAGCAATGTGATCTACTGGTATGAGATATATGTTAATTCATATTTGAATGTAAATTACTTGCAACACAGCACACCGCTCAACTACAGATTCAGGAGGTACATCATGTATGGTGTACTGGTGCTGATACTGTAAACTGTATTCCACCCAGACCCCTTTACTTCATCCTCTCTGCAGGAAATCCCTCTGTCTGAAATCTTGTCTCTGGAGCCTGCTCAGAATTTTTCTCTGCTTCCTGATGGAGCCAATCCTCATTGCTTTGAGATCGCCACGGCATCACTGGTTTATTATGTTGGAGAGAACCTGCAGAGACCTGAATCATCTGTGACAGGCAGCAGCATTCTGGTGAGATGCAGATTTAATCTGATATGATGCAAGATAGGTTCTCTAAGATCATAATAATCATAATCATTTGATATTATTGATAGATTTGATATCATCCTTAATGTGCTTGCATGATATCATGCAAACACTTTAAGGAGAAATGTTTTTCAACTTAAATCGGATACGTCAGAGCTGACAAAATAAAACCATTTGTCACATTTGTTTTCAAAATTTTGAAAAACTCACATTTACATTTACAATTTAAATTCACAGTTTAGCAAATGTCACTGAATCAGAATCAGAATCAGAACTTTATTCGCCACATGCAGGTTGCCCCGCAGAAAAATGAGACACCCCCACGACCTTACACACATAACACAGACATTACATGGGGTTACAAGTTGGAGATCGGCAGCGTTACGGAAAAAAACACTGAAATGTACATACAACGGGAAGGTACAAGAGGAAAAAAAGAGACCTCTACTCATGCTGTGCTTCCATGGTAGGACAGCACGAGAACAGGAAACAAAAAAACACCTCTGCACAAAAAAAAGCACATGAATGTCCACAACACAACATTGTGAAAGACATGACAAGCCATAGGGTTGGGTAGGGGATGAGGAGTAATCCCAGGCAACACAGCAGCCATCCTGCCACTGCGCCGACTCGCCAGCGCGTGCCCAGTCCTTAGTAGTCCTTACTAAAATCTCTCTTTCTCCAACCCTGTTCTTTCTTACATCTTTCTTCATTTAGTTCAGTTCAGTTCAAATGTGATGATTATTTGCAGCTAGCAGGTTATAGCCATCAGTAATAGTAATAAATCACACAGCAATAGTACATCGACGATACTGAAGTGGGACATAACTACCATAGCTATGGTAGCTACCATAACTCAAACAAGGTAGTTGCAGTAGGCTAATGTTAGTTAAATAAAGAACTTACTTCCAGATGTTTCTTTCGGTTGGAGTCTTTTGATGCTGAGAGCAGCTTGGTTGCTGGCAAACAAAGTTTGCATTGCACGGTCAGATTTTGCCCATCCCATTCTTCTCATCAAGTGGTGTCAGAATTTCCAAGTAAGAAATGCATTCCTGCCTGTTCACTGCTGGCTCTGTTGTGCTGGCTCTGGGTTCACTGTGTAGCTGACACCACCAACATTAACTGGACGCTCACATTAGAGCCTCTTATTGTGTGTTTTGTTTGGGTTTCCGGCGTGGAGACCAAAATTAGAGAGGGGATAGCGTAACATATGAAACAGGAAAAGATCGCCGTGTAATCCGTTTATTTCAACAAAGTAACTGTATTCTAATTATC